TATAATAATAATAATAATAATAATAATAATAATAATAATAATAATAATAATAATAATTTAATATTTATATTGCGCAAATTAACATGTGGATATGATCAAATGCGCATCACAACACTTTTCGGGGGACTTTGGCCGGACTGCATCAGCAGTTTACAAACAATCGAAGGAAACTTATTTGAAGATGCCCCCTCCCCCCCAATTCCCAGTAAACAGGCCAGACCACATCACAGTAATCTCGTGAGTGGGTTCTTTAACGTCCCCTGCCTAACCAAATTAACTAATTAATAGATGCAGGAGACGGGACCTACGGTTTATTCGTCCTTATCCGAGAAGACTAGAATGTCTATCCATTTCTTCATATTATAGAAAGGTAGCGCATTCCACTCAGTTATTTTAAGACCTTGAGTGTTGGTCCGGCAGGGGCTCGACCATCGACCTCGACCTCCCGCACAACAATGAAGCGCTCTAACCAACTGAGTTAACCGGGAGGCGGAACTCAAGGCAACTGTATGTAACCGCAATTGGAAACCAATTTGTGATGGACTCTTAAGTTACGCATGTAATTGGGGGAAAAAAAGTGCAAGGTTTCTGGAACCATCACATAGAAATTTTACAAGGAAAACTAATGAAGCCTCGAATAGCTTTCCATATTCAATAGAAAACTGATAAAACCCCTTATAGAGTGTGTTCAGTTATCCATTAAACTCTTCACTCGGAATCCTACTCTTGACAATTTTGCATTTACAGATATTTTCACGATTTTTTACGAACGAACCCACCAACGAACGAAAGAAAGAAAGAGAGATAACGAACGCACGACCGACAGAACGACAAAACAGAACAGAACAGAAACAATGAAACAAGCGAACGAGGTAATACATCTCATTCGTGCATCATAATAGTTAAAATATAAAACAGCTGAGGTTTGGAATATTTAACTAAACCCGTCGCTGCTTAGATAGAGATAAACTGTAAAATAAGAGCTTATTATGGTACACAAAAATTAAACGAGGTGAGTCTGAATTAACCCTTTACCCACTGACATCAGGATGCATATTCTCCACCATTGCTGTCCATACATTTCCTATGGCGCTGACAAGGAGGGTTTGTTTAGCAATCAAGAGCTTCTTTAGTTGGTGATCATTTCCTTAATTCTCGTGACCATAATGTATGATTCAGGGTGACATTGACAGGAGTTAGTCATTTTTTAGGGGATAAAGAGTTAAACAAAGAGGAACAAAAAGGGTTCAGGGAAAAACATGATTGACACACCCTTGTTACTTCGCTCTGCCGAAGGGCCAACGCTCGAAACGTCAACTTTGAAACTCTTTACGGTGGCCAATTTACATGATCAACTCAGTCGATGAAACCAAGATTACCTTGTTCTACTCCCCATCGACGCAGCACCGCAGTTTCTTTAGAAACTTACCCCCTTTATCCGCTTAATCATATACACGAACTAAAAAACTGAGTAGTCTCTCGTCTCTAGGAAGACGAGTTCAATCCCAACCTCGCTCTTGCTTTAAGGCGGCCCCGCAACTAAGCAGACATTTGTAAAATAAATTATTGTTTCGATACTTACACTGAACAACAAAACTGATGTCATAGATATAAAGTTTAGTGTTGGTGCCTGTGCTGGTATGCTGATCAACAGCACACATAATCTTGACATGATCTATTGTGCTGTTGTTTTCGAAGCGTTCTATGGCAACGTTTTGCTTAGTAATGCTCTGCACCGTGATTCCGTGGGGAAGTCTTGGCACCTCTGAGCACTCGTCGTCGGACATCGTGCAGTGAGACAAGTCTCTCCATCTCCTGCTGTCAGGAAACTTTATCTTCCAGTTGATTCCTTTGATTGTATTCAGGTCTGTAAAACCTTTCCATTGTATTGTCAAACTTCCATTGGAACATGCTTCCACTGAAGTTTCTGTCGGAGGTGATGAAGCTGTAGCTTTCAAATTTGCTGAAAAGAATCGAAGTGACCAAGAATTTACTTTAGTGTTGATGTCTTAAGCCGTTATTTGCCTTTAAAGATTAGAAAGCACTGAGTACCAAGCCACAGCACAGCTCTTAGTCCAATGCTGCTCACTGAGCAGGGGTTAGGTGATCGACTTCAGACTGTTTGAGAGTCAGACTAACCAAGAGTAAGCTAGGCTGCGAGAGGGTCCTCATTATTAACGCTGCAAGACGCACGTTTTTCCACTCCCTAGAAAGATTTGAGAAGAGACAGAGAGAGGTTTGCCGGAGGTCTGGACCCTGGCAACTTTCCAGCATTTTACGTGCACAATTAAGGAGGATTATCCCATGCCCTTACGCAGCTCACTCCTCCCGCCCAGACGATAAGAAATTGAGAGGCCTGTCACACACGCTTGAGTCTAGATCCTTGGAGATGTTCTCCATTTTCGGCCATAGCCCGGCTCTTGGTCCAATGGTACTCACTGCGCAGGGGTAAGGTGAACGACTCCTGGCTCCCTAATAATAAAGAGATTTAGCACCGCGTTTACGTGAAACGGCTAATGTCAGGTTGCCCTTTCACGGTTTGTGTAAAATAGCGTGAACGTTTCTACTTTGGCTTCATGTAAGCTAACGTAATGGTGGATTTGAAGGCGCCGTCGCTTGATCACTCTTGCCGTTCACGATTCACGTGCTAAATCTCTCTTCTGAGTGGCTACTCGCAGGCTAAGCCAGCCCAGCACCCGGTTTTGGACCCTGACCTAACCTGTTCGATATACCAGTACTATTCCTCAGGTTAATTACGCAGTTTACATAGTTTGATAAAATATGTGGGCTCGGCGGGAGGCCATTCTTTTCCCTTCCCCACCCTCCACGTATGCTTGTTGCTTTTTCTGCCCATGTCCCCCATGCCCTTTCGCAGCTCAGGCTCTTCCTGCCCAGTTGATAAGAAACTGACCGGCTTGTCACGCACGGCAGACTACGAGCAGTCCATCTTTCTCGGCGAAGTCTGTCGCGCGAGTCAAAAAAACAAAAAAAAAAATCAGTGCAGTTTTTTTTTTCACTCGCTCTTTTTTTTTAACTCGCACGATGGATTTTTCCGAAAAGGAGGGACTGCTGACGGTTGAGTCTAGCTCCTTGGAGGTGCCCTAAATTCTCGGAAGTGTTGAGAAGTGTTTTGATCTCTGGCGGGGAAATATTGTTTGTTTCCGAGAAATATACTAATTCTAAGAATTTACGGAAGAGTTTTATGTGTTCTCTTGATTGGACGCTGGAAGGTTGGATAGCGTGACGGAAGTAGTCGTTCAGAGTTCTTAAAGTTTCTTCATTACAAATTACTAAATCTCGCCAAAATAAATCATATTTTACCGTTGAACATACACCTTATCCACTCCAATTTTTTTTTTTTTTTTATCACGTCGCGTTGCAAACTATGTTTGAAACCCATCGAACAGCGTCATTTAAAATGAACTCTCATGCCACAAAACGAAACGGGAAGTCGTAACTAGAGGCCACCAACGAACAGTTAACAATATTATTGTGGAACTTGTTCCTTTCCAAAAGCGTCAAGCTGCGTGTTGTGCTATATAAATAGAAGCACAATATCGAACAATACGCGGTAGTATCCTTTTTATTTGTTATATTTTTTCATCATTTTTCCTTTTTTTACAGCACCCTTTTACGCTTAAAATTTAAATGGAAAGTTGTTTCAAAGCGACGCATAGTTTGTTGATCCTTTGACGCCATGATTACGTTTTCTGCGTACGTTTGCGGACTCGGCCGGAATATGTTTTCAAGAATGGTGGACGATTTTTGGACGACTCTAATTGATCATCGAAGGTTTGTTTTGAGTTTTGAGTGGCGAAAATGGTTTTAACTTGACCAAATTCAGCATTCTGTAAACAAATTAGCTCAAAATAAAGTGGTCAATTTTCGTCTAAGGGGCAGTTTAATATAAAGATATTCCGTTAACGACCTTCAGGGCCCCAAAATCGCACACAATAAGCAGGGGTCGTGTCTGTTCCCCCGTATCGTGCCTCGAAAGTTTCTAGCTATAGCTTCTTAAAGAGTAAAGGCTGATAGGTTCGATAGAAACTGTTTGGGGCTGCGTCGGTGGGGGTAACGAAATAATTTGGATATATCAACAAAGTTTCGAGCGTTAGCCTTTCGTCAACTTTTGTAATCGTTACGGTGGCCAATTTACCATTTCAACTTTGTTGATATATCCAAATTATTTCTTAAAGAGTAGTTTGGTGTGAGGAAAGCATGTCCGGATTAAATTTGTCTTTCGACAAAGATGTCTGAATTAAGACGAAGAACACTTAATATCGACTTGTTTACTCACAGGAAGTCAAGAGATTAACAAAACATTGTCACTTCTCTCTCTCTTAATCTTGGTGTTAACTGAAATTGATAAAAAGGAAACCCAAAGTAGCATACTTAAATGACACAGGAATTTAAGTTCTAATTCAATGCACTCAGCAGAGCTTATCGGTTTAACGAACTAACATAGGTTAGAGAGTGAGAAGCATAATTGCTAAAATTTAACCTCTCACAACGTTCCATAACTAATTGCTAAATTGTCTGGAGCAATTCAGCTATGAAGTTTGTACCACTAAAACTCCTCGCAGAGACCATCCATAGTAGTTTCACTTTATCATACATCGTCTGCCACATGTATAACGATATCTACAATCATACGGGAAACTTACGAAAGTGACGCTGAGTATTACATAATGACTTACTACATAAAGCCACAGCTGTCAAAATCCCCGCCATAATCCACATAGCCGTCCTAATTGATCGTTAAAACGATGAAAATGAACCATTTGCTTTCACGCGCTGTTTGCTTTGCTCGTCACGATAAGAATCTGCTGAGTTCATCACGTTGCACAAACAAATAACTGAACAGTTATCGATATTGCTAATTTTGGAAACCCTGTGTTTCCTCGGAGGATGTTTCGCAGAGTTTCCCGGACAATGTTTCGCAGTAGCCTAGCCAGTTCAATATACCTATCTCTTTTGGTAAAACTGATCATTGTTTGAGCGATTCAGCGAGGAAAATCTGGTAATATTCCTCTTCCTATTTTTTCCTGTTTGCAGTCTCTTTGTAATATGCACATTTTATTAACCACGTGACGTCACAATGTTTCGGAAATCGAAGAATTTCGTACCCAGTTCGAAGTGTTCGCTGTTCATTCCTTATTGTTCACTGTATGTACCAATGATTCTTCTTGGAAATTAGCTGTTTTTCGCGCGTACCACGTGATGCCGACTACAGGAAAAAGTGCATGGGGTGGTCTTGATTTACATCTAATTAAGCCACTAACCGCCATTTCTTGTTTTCGCCAGGAAATGGTCAGGAAAAAGAGAATCCTCAAGGTCTGGGAATTTCACTCTAAGTCAGTGAAAAATGTATCTATTTCAGAGATGTTATGAAACAGTAGATTTTTCTATCAATTCAAGTACTTTGGTAGGTTTTTATAGACATGAAATTTAATTAAATATACTAAATTTCATTTCAATTAAAAAAAAAAGTGTATGGTTTTAGTGGCAGCACATGTACCAAGTGACTCTTCATCCATCAAATTCCTGATTGAATTGTAATTTAGAAAAAGCAAAAAAAAAAAAATGTGCAGGATTGTTTAATGTTGTTTTGTGGAAATTGACAACAAAATCAATCCTTTTTTATGTTGTGTGAAGCTGGAACTATCAATCTATTTGGCTTTCATGTGACTTATTGAGAGCAAAAATTATTAAGCGGAAAGTATGGCTTTGGGGTGGTTGTAGGTCATCACTAGAGCTAATTTAGGAATTGTAAAATTGGTCGGGGAAATTTTACATTTGAACGTATTGCTGTAGCAACCACGTTGTTATATACTTCTGTCTCAAAATTAACTGAAAATGTTTTATAACATAACCACAATAAAACGCGCGGTCTGATTGGTCAATTCAGCGTCCACCATTTACCCATGGGTGTACGCTGCTGACGTGAGCGAATGCAAAGAATTCCGCGCGTGCTTCTTTTTCTCGGTCACGTAAGATTTGTTAAATAAAAGAAAACTCTTTTGCTACAATGTATCAATGTTATGCTATAAAACAAATGGTAAACACCACAGTGTACACTATTGAGTTATGGATGCACTTGGGAGGTTTTGCTAAGCACTCAAGAAGCTAGAGTCCCTCTCGGCTATCGCCACGCGCGAGTCTTACGCTTCTTTCATTCTTAGCAAAAAAAAAGAAAAAAAAATTAACTTTGGTAGCTAACACAATTACTGGTAACCCAGTAGTTTACATTGTGGGCTGTAAACAAATAATTCAAATTAAACATAATATTGTTGAGAATCACAACTGGCCGGAGGCAAACCACTTGGCTATTTACAAGCATGGCCGAGGATTTGTATTCGGAGCTACCGTGAAACAAATTCAGGGAGTGGTCAGAGCGGGACTTGAACCCGGGAGTGACGGATTGCGAGTCCGACACGCTGACCACTCGACCACGCTGCAACCTCTCGCGTGCATCCTTAGCTCAATTGTGTACGTTGTGGTGTTTACTATTTGTAAATAAGATATAGCGTGTAATAATGTCATATCATATTATGTTATTGTTTTGGATTTTCTATCTTTCTTGTATTGAATTCAAATGCAGAAAAAAGTCCCTGGGTATAAAGAGAAAAAACAGGCACAAAGAAGAAAGAAGAGTACCATTCTGTCATGAAAAGAAAAAAGTCCCTAGTAAAAGTGACTAGTACCCCGCTACACGCTGGCGTCCAGATTTTGATTCAAAAAGTCGCTGTCAAACCATAATCTATCATACAATAAGTTAAAAACGAGGTTTCTTTTTCTTTAAGCAAATACCACCCTTGATACAAAAACATTTACAGTCGCCTCGAATAGTAGATTTTAAAGCTGTGTGTCGATTCGTTGTCTTGCTTCTGAGCAGGTTATTCGATTTTATCCATTTTCTCCGCGGGTTTTTACGTTGCCTAATTAATAAGCTCTACTGAGCTTATTAATTAATTGTGTAATGAACGTGTCTGCAATGCATTACTTTTCCCGGGAAATCTTGATCCAAGGCCATCGTCATTCAGTGACGCAAGGAGCTGGTCCCGTTGTCCTATTGGTTTGCGGTCTCAAGAGGCGAAATAATCTCCTGGTGTGGCGCAAGTTGTTTAAAAATCTTTAGGAGCTAAAATCTCGCATTTAATTTTGAGAAGAATACGTACACTTTGAGCGAATTTATAGGGGACGTAGATTTGACCGATTTTCGTGAAATTCGCGAAAATATTCCAGGGATAATGACAAACGAAAGTGTGTCGGGAAATTTTGATATATGAATTATTTTTTATTTACCGTTGAGTTCAGTTGCTGGGTAAACTTCGCTTCATTGTATCTCATTTATCACTTTCACGGGTTTATTACGAATCAACTTAACGGCCTGCTCCCAGTTGGCTTGTTAGCTCAATTGGTAGAGCGCTGCACTAGTATCGCAGAGGTCAGTGGTTCGAGTCCCGTACAGGCCTGATTTTTTTCAGGTCTGATTTTCGCTACTGCATTAATAGCGCTATCTACTGCGAGGATCGTGCATCATACGTATCTAATACCGCAGTTCAAAATATATGAACTTCATATATTCATTGTATCTCACGATGTTTTGTTACTCATAAATAACTCTCTAGAAGAACTTGCATCAAACGTATTTCATTATGAAAGTACTTGAATAAAATATCCTAGAAGGTCACAAAATTTTTCAAAGGAAAGAAGATGGAGGAATTTTTGTCATCTCAAGTAAATACAAAGGAGATTAGTAACCCAATCACCGTCAATGTCATTTCAAGTCTGTTTTTGGCTGATGCACTGTTCGTTGGTTTGTGTTCTTTGGGCTCTAAGTTGTCAATAATGGAGGGCGTACTTGTGGAGGGTGTGCTTCGAGATACAGACGTAACGGAAGATGAAAAGTGCCAAGCCGTCTCGACCAAAATCCTTATCGTCTTCGACTCCCTTTTCTTCCCACCAGAGTCTTTTTCAATGTCAAATCTGACAACAATCTCGGGTCCGTCATCATAACCTTGAATGTTGGTCAGTATTAGACCGGCTCTCGTAAATCTTAGTCTTCTCCTGAAATCTAAACTGAGTTCATCATTACTGCCATCGAGTTCTTTTTTAAAGCAATTTGCGTAGTGTACAAAGGAGCTTCCATTAATAGACCAACACACAGCGCTCACACGTTCACATAGAACCATCTTCTGCAGGATTCTTGTTAAATTAAGATTTCCTCCTTCCACTGTCTGTACACCTAATGAGTAAACAAGAAATGTTGATGAGCTTGTCGAGCTCATGAGAGCAGCTTGTCGAGTTCAGGAGAGCAGCTTGTCGAGCTCATGAGAACGTAATCATTAGAGCAAAAACCAGAGTAAAACAACGGTCAGTCGAAACAAATTTATGAAAATATCGCAGGTTGCCAATGGGAACTCAAACAAACTGCATGTAACTGCAATCGGCCTAAATCGCGGGAAAATACGTCAGACCAAATTGTGATTGGACAGTTTAGTTTCGCATGTAATTAGGGAAAAAAGTTCAAGGTTGCTGGACCAATCACAGAGAAAGTAAATGTTACCGCTGGGCTTCACGTTCCCCAGCTGGGTCCCCTGCGGAAGCGCTTGACTTTCGGGCATGCGCGTGAGTGGCCTTCGAGTATAGACCACGAGGGCCACCGAGTTTTTACCTGAATTCAACCTGAATTCAATCTGAATTCGATAGTTTAGTGCTGAATTTTGAGTTCACCTCACGGTGCCTCGTGTAAGAGTAAACGGTTAACCTTATGGTTCGTCTTCACCCGTATTTTCTAAACGGTAGACTTTACGGTTGGACTTAACTCGCATTTACAGTAAAAGAAACCTATAAAATCTTGGACAGCTTTCTATATTCAACAGAAAACTGACATAAGACCTTTCCCATTCACAGATATTTTCACGATTTCTTAACGAAAGAACCAACGCACGAACAAACGAAAATTGAAAGAGAAAACGAACGCACGACCATACGAACGAGTGGACGGACAAAGAACAAAGGATCACACTAGTGAATGAAGGAATATAATACATTCGTACATCCATGATAATAGTTAGAATATAATATAGTTGAGGTTTGGAGAATTTGATGAAACTCTTCTCTGATGTGATAGAGATAAACTGTAGAATAAGAGCTTATCATTGATTATTATGGTACACAAACATTGAACGAGGTAAGTCCTTGTAATGCGCTTTTGATCATTGTATGTAAAAAGCGCACTATAAATTGATAAATTATTATTATTATTATTATTATTATTATTATTATAAGTCTCAATTAAACAAAGACGAACAAGGAAGGTTCAAGAGAGGCATGATTGACACACGCTTATTATAATTACTTAAGACGTGCTGAGTACTCTCTCGTCTCTATCAAGGTCAACCCCAACAGCACTCTTGCTTTACGGCGGCCTGGCAACTAAGCAGACAGTTGCAACAAAAATCGAAGTGTTTCAATACTTACACTGAATAGTAAAATCGATCTTATAGATCTCACCAGTTGTTTTTTTTATGCCTGCGCGGGTATGGCGATCAACTAAACACAATATGTTGACATGATTTATCGTACTGTTTTCTTCGTAGCGTTCTATGGAAATGTTTTGTCTAGAAACGCCCTCAACCTTCATTCCGCCT